TCCCTGTGCAACCTTCCCTTGTAAAGGCACATGAATCTGTTCTGGTAATACCTGGCTGGAGGATGTAGGTTTATCCACAACATTGTCAGAGACAGGATCAGACAGGTCATCAAAGGACACAAACGCAGTTTGTGACGCCCTCCTCCGGTGCTGGCCAGCCTTTTCCGACATACCTCTTCTAATACATACCAAGAATGAAGAAGCAACAAAATAAAGAGAGGGGGGGTTAAGGGGGAAGAGTGGAAGCAATTTGGGGTACTTGCACTTGTCTTGATTTATATAGTAGACGGCTGTAAGGTATTTTTCTATGTTTTTGGAATGTAATCTATAGGGGCATGTTTAACTAGTAAGATTTTATGAGAATCCAAATAGAGAATCATAAAAATGAAAATGCATTAAAGAGAGAGTATCCACTTTGATTTTTTTTTTTTCTAAAAAATGGAAATCATAGATTTATTTTACGATTATGATTTTTGGACAGTGAAAATTTTATTGTAACTATCTTAAAATATCTAGATGATACCAAACCGGTATATGCACACTGATTCATATGTTCTACTCGAATTAAAAAAGTCAATAAAAGTAAGTTGCATCTTGGAGTATGATTACCATCATTAATAATAATGTTATGGTCACCAAAATTATAAAATATTATCTTTAAAAATATTAATTTTATTAATAAAAATGAATAATAACTATAACTATTACAATTGATATTTATTAGTTAACAAAATAAAATTTATCAACAAATTGATATTTTTAGATATTATCTAAAAATATATTAAAATTTTAATAATTTTAACGATAATGATGGTGTCAGTGTCCATCACCATTCTTCATATCTAGTTTGGGCCAAGACTTTGTCAACCTAATTTAATCTGGGCCTTGAAATCACCACTAGGGTTGCCATTCCGTTTGAATTGTCCGAACCAAATTAAATCTTTCGTAGTTTCATTATTCGAATAAATTTTGAAGGAGACTTTTATATTAAATCCAAATTAAATATTTGATTTAGATAATTAATTAAAATAATTAAAATTTTATGTTTCAATATTAATATATCATTATTCTTCACCATTATTTATTAAAAGTTTTTTCTTTTTAATTTTGAATGTTTAATCTTCTTTTAAAAATTATTATCTATAAATTTGACAAAAAAAGATTTCTATCTAAAAAAATATAATTATTTAATCTTAAAAATTTTCTAAGAATTAAATAGCCCATATTGATAATTTTAAATATGAGCTAATAATTATAATTTAAATCAAAACTAATTTCAGTTACTTTATTTATATCTACTAAATTTATCTCAATATTTAAATTATCCAAATTAAAATTAAAAATTCAAATTAAAAATTTAAATGTTTGGATAATATCTTAAATTTACCCGCCTCATGTCACCAAGGTGAAACTCGAAAGAATATCAGACTTTGGCCCAAAGCTGGTTCCACTGGGATATGATTTCATCATTTTAAAAATTCAGAGAAACTTGCCTACATTTCTAGAAATATTTATCCTTAAATGTAATTTTTCCATAACATAGGGGGTACCTTGTTCATAATTTCCCCACACAGCAACGAAACAACTTTCTTCACTTTTTCCAAATCCGTTTGGTTGGCGAGAAAATTCAAGGGAAAGGGAAAAATTTTGAACTTCGCTGTGAAAATTTCATCTTCCGAATCCCTAAAACGGTTCGAAAGTTTTCAGTTTCTCTTCTTAAATTTTCTCAGCGTCCAAAAGGGAATAAGGGGTTTTTAGATTTTTGTTCGAAAACCCTATTTTTCGCACTCCAGTATTAGCTTTTCGTATTTGGATAGGTTAAATAATGCTTGAAAGGTATGATTGATTTCATGGTTTTCATTATAATTCTTACTTATATGTCTTTGATTTGTTTATAGATTTTGACGTTTCCCTTTTCCTTGTTCAGGTTGGAGTGTGTGTGTGTTTTTTTAGTAGGATTAATTGGGTAGTTATTTTTAAGGTGAATTTGAAGATAGAAATGTGTTTTTATTGTTTTGGGGATGGAAAGTACCTGCTCTGATACAGGCAATAATGTTTTATTTGAATAATTTTGAAGTTAATGCACTGAGCTATGGTGATTGTGCTATTCTTTGAGTTTGCTTTGTTTATATTCTAGTTCTTGGATTATATATAGTCATTGTCCTTGAAATGATGGGATAAATAAGCCAGAGCTTGGTGATGGTCTAGCCGTCTCTGATGCAAAAATTTATGAGGATTTCATTTTTTGGTATTGTTGTTTACTTTCACCTTTCTGGAATTTTGAAATTTAATAGAACTTGAATTGCATTGCAGTGGTGGATAGACGGACTTACTAGTGAACTGAAGAAGCTTGATGGAATGAGAGCTTAAGTGGGGTCAATGAATCTGTTTTCCCTGGAACTTAATCAGGCAAAATAGTAGTTTTCATGACTGATATCTCGCCTCTTGATTCAAGCCTTCCATGGCTTTGGATCATTGAATATCTGGCAAGCTTTGAGCAAGTTGATACTGATATTTTACATGGTATGGCAAATTCATATACCTTGTATGTAGAAATGAGTGCTTTTCTTTCTTAATTGAATCTTTTGAATTAAATATTGAGTGATTCATTGTTCCTTTCCTTCTTTCAGATTTGATTGAAAGGGCTCCAGACTTGCCAGATGATCTAGGGAAAAACACAAGGGAAAGGGTTGCTCTGAGATGTTTAGAGGTGTTATTCAATCCTATTGATAGACTTGCAAATGATGTTACTCCTGCTTCAAGAGTTTGTTTTGATCTTTCACAAAGCTGTGAAGATGTACTTCAATGCATACTTCAGGAGGTACTAAAATTTAATTCCTGTTTATATTGGTAGTTACTTTGGTTCGCTTGAAAGAAATAAGTTTTTCTACTGAGCTCATTTCTCTTCTAAAAACTTACTAACAGGGGCCAAATAAATAAATAAATAAATAAATAAAAAGGAGAACTTACTAACAGGGATGTTGTTGTAGCATGTAGTTTTAACTTTCAAGTATCTCCTTTTGCTAGAAATCAGTGTCAGATTTGAAGAATACCAGACCAGAGCTGTTGAGATGGGATCTTTACCCCTTTATAATGCACAAAAGAGCTACCTTGCCAAAATGTGCTCTGGAGGAGGTAAATGGGGAATTTTCATCTTTCATATTTATTTGTTAACATTGATGGAATTGTGGAGCATAAACAATCACTCATCTTTTTTCTTTTTTTTTTTCTTTTGTTCTTTTTCTTTTTCTCTTTTTGGTCTGCTTTTATTTAACAGCTGAAAGATACAATTCTCAGTCGTCGCCACCCATATGCTGCTGCGTTGAAGGAAATTAGTGGATTGGTGCATAATAAGACACCTGATGGAATTACTGTTTCTAATGATCATCATAATGCACTTACGTTAAGGCTTTGTGAGGGTAGAAATAATGGCCAAACAGTGCCAGAAAAAAGTAATGCAGTCCCTCCAATACTTGAAAATGGTAATAGAATGAGAAATTTATTACCCCTCAAAAGGGGCAGGAGTGAGTTGGCTACTAAAAACTTGGCAGGACTAAACAATGGTAGTTTGCTTGGTCATAATAATGATCTTCAATTAAATGCAAAGATGTTAAAGCAGGGCAACACTTGTACTAGTCCATCTGTCGGTCAGATTTCAATTCCCCTATTGGTGGGAGATGCTTCTGAAAGGGTTATTAGAGTTACTGAAGTAGATTGTTCTGTCCTGCATGAAGAGTCTTGTGTGGGTGAGCATTGTAATGATGATAATCTAGGGAATGTTCATAATGCCAGCAAGATATGTGAAAACATTGTAGGAGATGGATCTGTCCAATTTGTCACAGCAGATGAAACCCATAATGGTGAACTGAGATCACTTGCTGGTGCCCCACTGACAAGAACTCAGCAACAATTTTCTGTCGAAGAAACCAGCAATAGTGGCCAGAGTTCCAAACTGAGACAACCGAATACTGTCTCTGCTGGTGAAATGCAGCAGAGTAGTAATCCCTGTGAATCCAGTGCTGATACTTGCCATCCTTGTGAGGATGAAATGTTAAGTAACAATGACGAATTTCTTAGAGAGGGAATGGATATTGCCATGAAGAAGATTCATTTCTTGAGTTCCCATTGCACCGCAAGTCAAGATCCATTGGGAACAGCTGGCTGGACAGAGCAAAATCTTTGTGTCAAGTGTAACAAAGATGGTCAGATGTTGGTGTGCAGTACCACTGGTTGCCCTCTGGTGTTTCATGAGAGTTGCTTGGGTTCTTGGGCCAGATTTGATGACAAGGGCAACTTCCACTGCCCTTTTTGTGCGTATTCTCTTTCTATTTCAGAGTACCTTGAAGCTAAGAAAAAAGAGTGCACAGCGAGGAAGGAACTATCTGCACTTACTCATATGTTTGAGCATTGTTCACCAGAACTTACTGGGGGACATAGGAAGGAGAAAAGTTCAAGATTAAAAGGAGCGGATTTTCTTGTGAGGATTCAGGAGAATGGGCATTTGAGAGAGAAAGAACAAAATCCAACAAATCATAATGGAGAAGATGCAAATCACCAATTTCAAAGAAGTCTAGCTGATAAACATCAATCAGTGCCCTCCATGCCATGTAGAGATGTTAACACACCATGTATGGAAGTTGAGTCAAATGCCATTGGTGGGACAGCATGCATCTCAACTCTGGGAAAGGAAGGCAAAGAAAAGGTGGTAAAAGAGAGCCTATCTGAGAGAGAGCCTGAAAGGCAAGGGGCCCAACCATCAGACATCCCTGATTGCAAAAGTGGCAGTCCATCCTGTAAAAACACTGAAACTGCCCCTGTAAATCAGAGTGAAAGAATACAAAAAGAAATTTTACAACAACACGTAACTAATCCCAACCAACAAACCATCATTCTTAATTTTGATGGAGAGGATACTTCTGATGCTGAAACTGATAAGTTTATTATTTCTAGCTATTCCATAAGAGTCAGAAGTGAGGAAAGGAAGTAGTAAGTTTTCCATGATATCAATAAACTATCTATGAGATTAACAACATTTCTGCTGCTCCCTTGTGTGTTGTTACACTACTTACATCCATTTGGCATCCTTTATATGCTTCTTCAATTTCTTCTTTCTTCTTTTT